CCTGAACTGAACTGAACTACTTTATCTGAACTGAACTACTTTCCCTGAACTACTTTACTAAACCTGAACTGAACTGAACTACTTTATCTGAACTGAACTACTTTACTAAACCTGAACTGAACTATTTTACTAAACCTGAACTGAACTGAACTACTTTCCTTGAACTGAACTACTTTCCCTGAACTGAACTACTTTATCTGAACTGAACTACTTTACTAAACCTGAAGTGAACTGAACTACTTTACTAAACCTGAACTGAACTACTTTACTAAACCTGAACTGAACTACTTTACTAAACCTGAACTGAACTGAACTACTTTCACCGAACTGAACTACTTTCACTGAACTGAACTGAACTACTTTCCTTGAACTGAACTGAACTACTTTACTAAACCTGAATTGAACTGAACTACTTTCCTTGAACTGAACTACTTTACTAAAACTGAACTGAACTACTTTCCTTGAACTGAACTACTTTATCTGAACTGAACTACTTTCCTTGAACTGAACTACTTTATCTGAACTGAACTACTTTATCTGAACTGAACTACTTTCCCTGAAATACTTTACTAAAACTGAACTGAACTACTTTACAAGATCTGAACTGAACTACTTTCCCTGGTGGTGATGTAAGGATCCCGCAGGAAGTCTCCTGATCTGTAATGCTGCACTTCCTGTTTGATCTGCAGCAGCAGCAGATGAGGGCCAACTTGTCGGGCGCCTCGTTCCCCAGCGAGCTGCGGGAGCTGCTGCAGCGCCGCCTGGGGGAGCTGGAGAAGCAGCTGCTGAAGAAGGTCAGCAGCCTGGAGGAGGAGAAGAGCCAGCTGTCCAACGCCACGGCCGCCTACCGGCTGAAGACCGAGAGCACGCTGAACGCGCTGGTGGAGAGGATCAGCGAGCTGGAGAAAGGTACGCGGCCCTTTGCACTCAGAGCTCACTGCTCCCAGATTTCAGACCTGATTGCTGGTTTCCAGCTGTAATACTTGAAGCTGTGTGTTGACTCTAGATTTCTGACTCTAGATTAGTAGCTCTATAGATGGTTTCTCTTTAATATCTTCAGTTCCTGCTCAGCAGCAGAACCTTGGTTCTGATAAAATGCACAGACGTTTGTTGGGAATAAATTGGCAGAAAATAAAATTTAATTTGACTTTTTGCAAATCCAAGTCCAGTCCCTCAGAGGGAACGTGAGAGCAGAACGTCCCGGCGGACCCTTCAGGCTGTAACCCTGCTGCCGTCTGTCCTAACAGGGGGCGGAGACTTTAAGTCCCCTGAGCAGTTCAAGCTGTCCCTCCCCCAGAGGACCAACTACCTGTACGGCCGCATCACCAAGTCCCTGCCGGAGATGTACGCCTTCACGCTCTGCATGTGGATCAAGTCCAGCGCCAGCCCTGGCGTGGGAACGCCCTTCTCCTACGGCGTTCCGGGCCAAGCCAATGAGATCGTCCTGATCGAGTGGGGCAACAACCCCATCGAGCTGCTCATCAACGACAAGGCAAGTGTCGATGATTGGCCAATCAAGCCGCCATAGAGGTCGCTAACGCTAACGGGTTGCTAAAAAGGCAGCTAACGCTAATGCCCACTATAAAGGCCGATAACAGTCACCAACAGGCCACTATAGAGACTGCTAACGGGACATGTGGTTGTGCTGCAGGTGGCCCAGCTGCCGCTGGAGGTCCGGGACGGGAAGTGGCACCACATCTGCATCTGCTGGACGACCCGAGACGGCCAGTGGGACGCCTACCAGGACGGAAATAAGCTGGGCGCCGGAGACAACCTGGCAGCCTGGCACCCCATCAAGCCTGGAGGAGTCATCATCCTGGGGCAGGAGCAGGTAGCAGGAGGTCACAGGGTCAGGGGGCCTGAGGGTTAGAGGTCACAGGGTCAGGGCTCTCGGTATTTTGTGCAGCACAGAAGGAACCTGCTGTGACTCATCCAGGCTGCTGAGCGTCTTTAAAGTTTCTCAATGTAGACGGAAGGTCATGAACTCTAACAGAACCTGGCTGACAACAGGAAGCAGGCTAAAGCTAGTGCTAACCCGACTCGGAACCAGAACCAATGATTCACCTTGGTGAACCAGAACATCTGGAGCTCTGCTGGCCTCAGCTAAGGTCAGAGGTCATGATTCAGAGAAAAAAAGGCCTCCATGAGAGACCAGAACCAGAACCACCACTGACCCAGACGAACACAAAGACCTGCCTCAGACTGACCAGAACCTGGGGGGAAGTAACTAGTTACATTTACTCCTGTTGCTGTCACTAAGTGCAGTCAGTAGCTGCACTTTTACTTTGACTTGAGTATTTTTTGGGTGAAGTATTTTACTCAGTTACGTTAGAGATCTTAAAGAGAAGCACTGATCCTGCTGGGAAACCCAACCGGTACGGTTCCAGTTCACTGTGATGGAAGAACCAGTTCAATTGGGAGGAAGGTAGCAGCTTTCCCATTTCCACCAGCTGTATATGATCATCCCAGTAATGATAACCCATAAGATCAAGCCAATCAGGAGCGTCCCATTTTGACCAGAGTGCTGTCGTTCACCTGCTAGCCGCTGCTGTGTTTGTCCCTCATAGGACGTGGTAGGCGGCCGGTTCGACGCGGGCCAGGCCTTCGTGGGGGAGCTGAGCCAGGTGAACATCTGGGACCGCGTCCTGAAGCCGGCCGAGATCCGCTCCATGGCCAACTGCAGCGCTTACCTGGCCGGGAACGTGGTGGCCTGGCTGCCCGGCAGCGTGGAGGTGTTCGGCAGGGGCGCCTCCAAGCGCCCTCTGGAGGTCTGCCAGGAGCGGCTCCCCAACTTCTAGAGCGCGACCGTCACCATGGCAACGCCGTCCTGGACTTCCTGTCAGAGTTTACATCTCCAATGTTTGGTTCGAGCTTTTAATGTGAATGTTTCTGAAAGCTCTTCATCCAGCATCCCTCCATCCCTCCCTCCCCATCCCACTGGTAGTAAAGTCAGTCTGTCCAATCTGAAATGATCTGTGGAAGTTTTCCCTGATGTGTCTGAACTCCTCATGGAACTCTGTTGCAGCAGACATCCAGCCTGCTTCCTCCTCCTCCTCCTCTTCCTCGCTGCCAGTAGTGAGTCCATCTCAGTGCTTTCTCTCCTCTGACCAAAGGAACATTGGGGATTTCTTGTCACTAACTGCTGTAAATGATATTTATCTTCATATTGTTGCTGTGTTACACTGTAGAACTTGAGCCCATAAAAAGCTTTAATATGTATTTTTATGAATCTAAATGACTTAATTTTGTGAATTCCTATCATTAGGTTGTACAGTGTTGGCGCCTCGTCTCATGGCCTTCACAGACGTCCAAGTGCCATTAATTTTTTTTTTTTTTTTTTTTTTTACCCGTTTTGACATCACAGAATAAAGATGACACATGTCGCAGCTGTTTTCCATGTCTTTTTAGTAGCAACGTTAGCTTCCATGCGTTTTTGGGTTTTGTCAGGGGGTTTGGTTGGTGGTGAGAATGAACGCGGAGACCCAGATGATGATGATGAATTTAATGAGAAGGTCACAGTCCAGGATCAGGCAGCAAATTAGCACATAGCTAATACCGGTAGCAACTGACATAAAAGACTGTACACTGAAACAAGCAACCTCAGGACTTCACAGTTCAACTGACTGACAAGCGACATAGCATACGACGCTAGACGAGGAACACAGACAACAGGTGGGACTAAATACACTGGGAGGGTAATCAAGGAATGAGACACAGCTGGGATCAATCAAG